CTGGAGGGGAGGAGGGCAAGGGTCCCGGCTCTTTACAACCTGCTCCAGTTGCCTTCGCCCCTGCGCGCCGGGAGGCAGAGCGAGATTTAACCAGGCAGGGCCCCTCGGGTCCTTTCCCCACTCCCTGGTCTTGTTAGACACCCTGTTTACCTGCCCCTAATTGCCCCGGGGGGAGAGGCTTGCTCCGCCCCGCCCCCCGCCCCCCAGGCCCTCAAGGGCGAGTGGGACCTGCCCTGTGCAGGCCGAGAAATCCATCTAACGGAGTGAGGGGTGCACCCCTGCCAGGTGGGGTATGTCGACACTCGCCTTTCAGCGAGAGGTGGGAGGCTAGTCGAGGAGGGAGGAGAGAAGAATAGAGAATTGTTTCCAGGGACAAGGCACGTCCCAGGCCCCAATCCCAACCCCTCCCCGAGGTGGGGGGTGCGGCTCGAGGTGGGGGGTGCGGCTCTGGAGGCGGAGTTATCTGCGGAGCTTCGACCCAACTAGCGGCACCTCCCTTGTCACTGCCTGGGCGAGGGTGGCTGACAGATTCAATTAAAGAGCCTCAGCCAAGCAGACAACCCGGTCTCCCAGGAGTTTCCGCACCAGCCCCTCTGCCACTTGTGGGTCAGATGCGAACTGGACCCAGCATTCCATGAGCCAGGCGCCTGTGTTTCTTCAATCTTTTCTTTCTTTCTTTTGTGTGTGTGTGTGTGTGTGTGTGTGTGTGTGTGTTATTTCAAGGGCTATTGATAGGTAAGAAGTGACCTTCCTTCATTTGTGTTCATCCAGCAAGCTTTCTTGAAGGCTCGTCCCACCTCATTGAGGAAACTGAGGCACCGGAAGGAATAGCTCTAGTTGAGGCATATGCCCAGCATGCTAGAGTGGGGTGTGTGTGTGTGTGGTAGGGGGACTTGGGCGTGTAGCTGCAAGGGGCTGCTTTGGAGTGGGAAATCTGGGTGAGGCTGAAGAACAGAGGTCCCAGTGTGACTATGCAGCAGCTTCAGGCCTGGCCCCTCCTGTCAGTGGCCCCCTCCTCAAAGCCTGAAGGGACTCTGGGGGTCCGGATGGGAAGGCAGGCAGGCCCGGGTGGTGGCTGGGAGCCTGGCCTCGTCTAACCTGTTTGCCTGCTCCCAGCGCCCCAGGCTGAGACTCCTGCCCACCAGAGTACCAGGGCCAGGGAGGGGCCTGAGTGACCTATCACTCCCATGGGAACCAAGTGGGGCTGGTGGCATTCCTGATGACTCAAGGAGGCTGTGCCCATTCTTAATGGAGTGCCCAATACTAGCTCTCACCTGTCTCATCACCAGGCCTGGAGCAGGGTGTCTGGGGAGGGGGCAGCAGGCCAGGTCAGAGAAGAAGGGTGAGGTGAGGAGGGAGCTTCAAGGCCCCACCTCAAGCACAGGCCCTCCCAGTTCCTCTTGCTCAGGAATCTAATTACTGCTGTGGAGCTGGGCCACTTCTGGGGAATTAGAGAGAGCCAGCTCCTCCCCTCAGGGAGTTCCCAGGGACTAGGGACCCCTGTGGTGTGATGATTGCCAAGTACCCCCATACCTTCCTTTGTCCGCCTGACTCCCTCCCTCACTGCCCCTGCCAAGATGTGTGCATTCCTATGCCCAAGGAAGCTAGGGGACCCACCTCTCTGCCCACTTCTCTGAATTATTTTCTCAGAGATTTCCCCTGTCCTCACCCCACTCAGGACCTACCACTAGCCCTGGGGACTTAGCACCTGCCACTCTGCCCCATGTGGGATCAGGAGGTAAGGCACAGCCATCTTGTCTGGGCACTGTGCCCATCTCTGCCATCATCACAGAGGCAGCCAGCGGTGCCCAGGTTGAAGAAGAAGGTGTGCAATGAGGCAGAAGTGTGGATTGGTCCGCATGGAGCCTCAGTGCCGAGTGCCATCACTGTCACACCCTTATCAGCTGTGTCAGTGTATTGATGGTCGAGGGTCTTCAAAAGAGGCAGCCCCTCAAGGGGTTGGATTGACTTAGTGGCAGCAGCAATGGTGGTGAGGATGACCCAGGACTGGGCAGGGTTGTATTCGGGGTCCATGTGGGTCAGAATGGACTGGACCGGTGGAACCTCACAGCACGCCCATAGCCTTAGGGGGGAGGTCAGTGGATGCTTGTGGTACTAAAGGTGCAGAGGTCAGTGCACGCGTGTGTGCATGTGTGTGTGTGTGTGTGTGTGTGAGAGAAAGAGAGAGAGAGCCCAGAGTACGTCATGAAGACTGGAGTCTCATAGTTTCAGCTCAGACAGGGTTGTGAGGCCGAGAGAAGGATTTGGGGGACGGTCCGAGTTTGGGTTATAACGTCAGTGTTTCTGTGAGGAACATTTCAGGGGGCTTCTAGGACATTATCAAGGGGCTGCTAGGCGGCAGGGGAGCAAGCGTGATCAATGCTCAAAGAGTAAGAGAAGCTGCTGAAGGGGACTGTCCCAGAGGGGCCCGCTGGAGGGCAGGTGGGGGTCGACCAACATCAGCATGCCAGCCCAGCACACATCCCGTCTAGTTTTTCTGTGGATGCCGCCTACGAGTGGGCGGTGGACATATTTGTGTGTGTGCCATAGAACTTATGCATGTATATGCATGAAGCTGCCATGCCTGTATATGTAAGAGGGCAGGTCCTGTTGGACTGGCCTTGGGGGTGGGCTGGCAGCAGCAAAGAAGCATGCTGGGAGAGGAGATGGAGGGGTGCTGGCCCTCAGAAGGGACCCCTCCCACTCTCACTCTTCCTTTCCAATCCTCCTTTTCCTCCTCCCCGCCGGTGAATTATGGGGGATGGACGGAGGAAATCCGGGCCTGGGTCTGGGAGTCGCTGGGGCCTGCGCCGTTTCTGTGGTAACCAAAGCATACGTTCCTTTCCCTCTCCTCCCGCCTCTTCCTCCGGTGACAGGGCCGGCCTTCCCTGCGCCTTTGCTACCCTCTGGTGGCCGCCAGGGGAAGGACAGAACCCGAGGGCGAGGGCACGGGCACGGAGGGTAGCGAGGGTGGTGCTGGTGCTGGTGCCACTCGGGCCGTGGGGACCAGACTCGAGTTTGAGGAGAGGCGATCAGAGGAAAACTGGGGGGGGGGTCCCTACGGGAACCCTGGGTAAGGTCTGCGGAGCGGCGAAGTGGAAAGCGCGTCGGTGACCCCAAAGCGCGTCGGCGTTCTGACCCGCTTCCTTTCCCCCTCCTCCCCAGTCTGCGGCGAGAGGGCTACACCGTGCAAGTGAACGTGAACGATTACCTGGATATTTACTGCCCGCACTACAACAACTCGGGGATGGGCCCGGGGGCGGGGCCCGGCCCCGGAGGCGGGGCGGAGCAGTACGTGCTCTACATGGTGAGCCAGGCCGGCTACCACACCTGCAACGCCAGCCAAGGCTTCAAGCGCTGGGAGTGCAACCGGCCGCACGCCCCCCACAGTCCCATCAAGTTCTCGGAGAAGTTCCAGCGCTACAGCGCCTTCTCGCTGGGCTATGAGTTCCACGCCGGCCAGGAGTACTACTACATCTGTGAGTG